GTGTATGTGTGTGTGTGTGTGTGTGTGTGCGTGAGGGGCAAAAGCATGTGTGTATGTGTGTGTAAGGAACAAAAATGTGTGTGTGTGTGTATATGCGTGAGGGGCAAAAGCGTGTGTGTATGTGTGTGTAAGGGGCAAAAACGTGTGTGTGTGTGTGTGTGTGTGTGTGTGTGTGTATGTGTGTGTATGTGTGTGAGGGGCAAAAGCAAGGAAATCAATAAAGAATGGCAATAACAAAGTAGTGTAAGGAGTGCACAAACCAGGAAGTTGCCTATCACGGATAGAGAACACTGTTTCTCAAGTTTGAATTTGGAAGTCGTTTCAGAGTAGCCATTCCCCACCCACCGATAGGCCGGAGTGTCAGGAAAACCATCAACAGGCCAAATACCAGCTCAGAGGGGATTCACCACGGCCAATAGGGTGTCTGCAGCAAGCCGAACTCAAAAAACGAAAAGAAAAGAAAATCACGCATACTTAAGGGAAACAACTAAGGGAAACAAGTCAGCAGATTCAGTTCTTTTTGGCTTGATGTATCTCCCCAGGCCAACTTTGCGGCCAATTGTGACCATTTTGAGATAGCCAATTGCCCGTGAAGAGCGGCATTAGCAAGCATCGCTTAGATTCGTATGGGAAGGGGAGATGAGTCAGGCACAACAACTTGCACTATACTTTGTTCTTGCTCTACGGGCTGACCTCCGCTCGGTGTTGCCACATACCGTACCGTCGGGCTGGTGTAGCTCCAGTCCCTCATGTTGGAGAGGATACCTGTACAGGACAATAAGGCTACCCTGGTTGAAATGGCCATGTGCTGTCGAATGAAACGGACTATAGAATTTACCTGAGTCAACTATTCGACGAGCAGAGAGGAATCTTGGACAGTGGGCGAAAGCCTGATCCAACAATATCGCGTGAGTGAAGAAGGGGATTAATCTTTAATATCTCAAGGCTGAGTCGAGGCCAAGTCCTACTAATGGTGCTTTTATCTTTCGTCAGAGTCTTTTTCAAGTTGACCATGGTGCATTATTTTCTTCCTTATTTCGGCTTCTCCCTTTAGCAAAGACGATGACCTTGAATATATAATCTTTGAACAGACCATCCCGAGGTAAATTCAGAGTTTCGTTCATCACACGCCATTTGAATTCGAACTCAGGTCGATATTTTAACAACTTGTATGTGTACCAACTGCGTTGGGCCTGGTGGTTAGTGCACAACCTTTTGTCTTCGTTTGAACTTTTTTTTCAACATGGCTATCATAGTGCAGCCATGACATGTTACCAAGTCGAAACCACCACTACCCTTTTCCCACGAACATATCTCACATTGAAAATGCATATATACAGACTCTGTTTTCGTCCCGATGCAGTCTAAATGAGGATGGGTTGTGTTCGAGGGAAGAAGGTAAGGGGAAGAAGGATGCGTTGATGATAACTTCTCAAAACTGTTGACATTTTCTATAAAAGAAAGAAGAAGAGAGAAAAGGAATCGTGTCGACAACCGGATCAAATCAATATTAACGAACCCCCCCCTCGAAGTCCCCTCCAACGATTTTTTTCATTTTCGGATGTCGATTCAGAAGGTCAACAACCAGAAATCAAGAGTTTGTGCATGTGGGCTTGGCCCCGGGACCTGTATGCTAAAACGAACAGTGTTTTTTGTTAACTTCCCTTTAGTTTTCCCTTCTTGAACTCATGCTGGGAAACACAACGTAGTGAAAGAAAAATAAAATTGAAGTAGAGAAAACAAAAAGTTCATCGCCGCAGGACTGACTGAGAATAACTCATAATTCCGACAACGAGCATAAATATAGGTGTTATTATCTTATAAACTTAAGGTTACCGTCGAAGAAAAAAACAACCAATGACCTATTGTTGTTTACACGCTAACTGTCAATATAGCAAAAAAATTATAACCGCACGTGTCCCTCTACGTTTCAACCGGGTGCCCTCCGGTCTCATGAGGAGGCTAACCATAATCCTCAGCGTTTCACGACCCACCTGCAAACACACGATTTGGAAGGTTGCCCATTGTCTTCAAAGCCCAACGAAAATGCGTGCGTGCAAACACAGTATTTGACGATATTCTGGACTTGAGTGAGTTGCCTCAACAGATGATGCATGTACACAAACATAAGTTACAACCCATGCAAAATAGGATAAGTTTGGCCCAAACTACTGGACGAACGCACATATACAGGCACAGTTAAATCAATCATAGATATCTTTATAGAGAACACTTCACTTTCTCAATTCATAACCTCAGTGCTCGGTCATAGACTCACATCTTCTCTGAAAACGGATGGAAGGTCGTCCATGATGGCAAATGCGCACAAAGGAAATTTACAGACCAATTTCAACATAAATGTTTCTGGTCGCACTTCCAGTTGTTTGGCGGACTGTCTTCCTCGTCTACGATTTTGTTCTATTCACGAACACAAAAAAAAGAGACGAAAGATAATTTGAGGGCATACTCATACGGGGACCAAAAGTCTCAAAAATTTGAGGCATTTGGTTCTGTTTTTTTGAAGCATTTGGTCCCCATGTGGTCACACGGGCAGACCTCGTCCAGAAAGGACGAAGTCGCGACCTTGACACTTTCAATTCAGGGCAAGTGCGGCTGATCACACAAGGGAGGACCAAACGAAAAGATGGATTTAATTTTTTTTTTTTTTTCACACAAGTATAACGCTTGGGCCTTATCTACAATGTAAATGTTCCTGGTCGCACTTTCAGTTGTTTGGCGGGCTGTCCGCTTCATCTATGATTCTCTCCAATTCACGAACGTAGAAAAAGAAAAACGAAAGATAATTTGAGACCACGTCCAGAGGTGGTCTCAAAAAGGGTACGCCCATGGCCTGCAGGCCGCTGACAGAAGGGTCACCGTTTGAGGCATTTGCATAGCGAGCCTCTCCAGTGTGACCCGAAAAATGACTCAAATTTTGGGATTTTGGGTCATTTGGTCCTCGTGTGAGTGTACTCACACGGGGACCTATAATCCCAAAATCCCCCAAAAGAGGGGAAAAGGCCGTCACACGGATCTACCAAATTCGCAAATGTACTATTCCAGTGCCCATTTGTCAGCGGCCTGGGAAGCCGCGGGGCAAGGGATTTTGCGGTCCGCAAATTCCCTTTTTTTTTTTTGCATTGTCTTCAAAAATTGACAAAAATTCGTTCACAAAAGTTATTGCACAATTGGTGGATGGTGCCATGCGACCAGCCAAGTACCAAATCCCCATTTCTCCAGACGGCGGCGACCTTGTCCCATCTGAAAAGGTACAGCAGTGTCACGTAAACCATGCCCAAAACCTCAAATCGGCCCTTCCCAAATCCGCATAATTTGCGGATTTGGGGTCGCCGTGTGAGTATGCCCTGAGACCACCTCTGGAGGTGGTCTCAAAAAGGGTCCTCCCACGGCCCCGCAGGCCGCTGACAAAAGGGTCACGGTTTGAGGCATTTGGGTAGCCGGCCTCTCCAGTGTGACCCGAAAACTGACTCAAATTTTGGGATTTAAGGTCTTTTGGTCCCCGTGTGAGTATGCCCTCAGATGGGACAAGGTCGTGGCCGTCTGGAGAACTGGGGATTTGGTACATCCACAAATTGTGCAGGAAGTTCTTTGGGACATCCGTTAAAATTGGGACGATACAGAGAAGATTAGCATGGCCCCTGCGCAAGGATGACACGCATAAATAGAGAAATGGTCCAAATTGTGCAAGAACTTTTGTGAACGAAGTTTTGCAAATTTTCAAAGAAAATGCGAAAAATGAAATAGGGCACTTGAGGTCACCTCCATACGAAAAAGAACTTTTGTGAAATAGGGCACTTGAGGGCACAGAGGGCACAGGAATAGTACATTTCTGCACCTCTGCATAAAACACGTCCCGGGGCGTGGTCCCTCTAGCAAAGAGGATCGGATCGAATGCCTGAATCTGGATGTAATTGTGGAGAGGTGCAGGAAATCGGAGATTGAACTGCCTTTCTGCACCTCTGCATAAAACACATCCAGATTCAGGAGCTTGAGCCTATCCTCTTTGCTAGTGGGACCTCGGCCGGGAATGATACAGGGCCAGATCCCACTGGCAAAGAGGATTGGATAAATAAGCCTCTGAATCTGGACATCTTTTGTGGACAGGTGCAAACAATTGTGATTGAACTGCTTTTCTGCATCTCTGAGCGGAATATGTCCAGATTCTGCCAGTTATTCCGATCCTCCTTGCCAGTGGAATCTGGCCCACAGAGAAAGACAGATGAGTATTTCGTTATTTTCTTTCTTTTCCAATTTTTGAAAGGGCGTGGGCGTTGAGCCATTCAGGGGCCTCCCAAAAAGAAATAAATAAATAAATAAAATAAAAATAAAAATAAAAATTCAGCAGGGGCCTGCATCAGAGTTGCAGACGTCAGAATGCTCTGTGAGGGCAACTCACACGGAGGACTTGATCAACTTCTCTGTGGACATAATTGCGGTAAAGTGGAGCCAGTCCTGGTCGGAAAAGCGTCCATATTCGTTCAGGAACGTTGATCCTATGCAACGCGATCACATATGCAACCGTGATCATAAATGGTGGGAAAAGGGAAAAAAAA